AAGCAGCTGGAGTAGGGGCTGGAGTGGGGGATCTCCCCAGGTCCCTTCCAGCTGCAGCCAAGCCTCAAGCTCATTCCCAAAGGCCTCCTGGCATTCTTCAGCTCCCTCATTCCTTGTAGCTGCCTCCTACCAGAGCCATCTGGTCACCGAAAGTGGCTTGCTCAAAATCCAGGGGCTGCACCCCCTGCCTGCACCCCTCTGCCTGCTCTCCTGCCTGCCCCAGGCACCGACCTCCTCTGCCATCACATCCCCACGCAGTCCTTCCCAGGCACCCCTCTCAAAAACACCCCTCCCTGCTCCAGCCCTGCCACGCTGCCCCTCCAGCATGTAGTGGGATGTTACCACAGAATTTTCAGTTGGTTTAGATGGGAAGGGACCACCCAGTCCCACCTACCACCACAGGCAGGGACACCTTCCACAGACAGGGCTGGAAGTCCTGGTGGGGAACAAGGTCACCCATGGGGAGGCTGAACCTCCCCCAGCTGCCTCAGAAGGTTTCATCCCTGTCCTCTTGGCTGGGGGCCTGAAACACAGCCCCCCACAGTCCCCCTCCCTGCCCATGGCTCCAGCCCTGACCTGCTCAGCAGCACCGTGTGTCCCACAGAGGTGCCCCCCACCCCTGGTGCTCCTGAATGGGTGGTCATGTCCCCCCACGAAGGGCCTGTGTCTGTCCCTCCCCCAGCCCCACCAGCCATCCCAGGGTGGAGCTGCTTCACCCACTCACATCCCCACCGGCCCACAGGTGGGTGCAGCCACTGTGCCCATCTCACTGGTGATGAGGACCCGCTGTTCCCACCACTCTGTGCCCTCTGCTTCCCGCTGCTGCCACACCTGAGGGTCTGGGAGCATCTTCTCTCCCCAGAGACCACAATATCTCATGTCCTGATCCGGGAACACACACAGCCCCATCCCCAGTGCTGGTGGGTTTGTGCTGCCAGCCCAGCTGCTGCCACCCAGTCCCAGCCCAGCTCATCCTGTTCCCTGTTCCTGGTGAGCCCTTTCTCCATTCCCAGTGAGCGCGTTCCCCATTCCCACTAAGCCTGTTCCCCCATTCCTAGTGAATGTATTCCCCCACTTCCAATGAGTCTGTTTCTCCATTCCTGGTGAGCCCATTTCCCATTCCTGGTGAGCCCCTTCCTCAATCCCAGTGAACCTATTCCCCCGGTCCCTGTTCCTGGTGAGCCCATTCCCCATCCCTTGTGGGTCCATTCCCCATACCTGGTGAGCTCATCTCCCATTCCCAGCTCCCCTGTTCCCAGTTTTCCAGCCCCTGGCCCAGCACAGCCCCAGCTGCCCCCGCCCCGCACTTGCTCACGCCTCGGGTTTCCACCACGTTTTATTACAAAATCGGGGCAGGACCGTCCCGGGGCCGGTTCCGCTCCCACTCGCCCCAGCGCCGGGGCTGAGGCGGGTGCAGCCGGTGCCGGTGTCGGTGCCGGTGCGTTTGCCGGTGAGGTGCCGGGCGCCCCACAGCGCAGAGGCCGAGGCGGTGGCCGGAGGCCGGTGCAGACCCGGGGTTACGGGGGTTCCCGGGGGGTCCGGCGGTCCGGGGGGGGTCAGCGTCCCACGGCGTCGAGGATGCGGCGGTTGGAGTCGGCGCGGGCGCGCTGGCTCTGGGCGCGGGCGAGGAGCAGGAGGTGCCGTAGGAGGTGGAAGGTGAGGTCGATGGAAAGCGGCGGCTCGTCCCGCCGCCCTCTCCACTGCCCCGGGGCCGGCGGCGCCAGCGGCGGCCAGAGCGGGCGGCCCCGAGCCCCGATCCCGGCCGCGGCCGCCGGGACGGAGCCGTCGGTGGTGGCGGGGAGGGCGGCGACGGGCGGCGAGCGGGCGAGCAGCAGCAGGAGAGTGAGCAGCGCCCGCCGCATCCTCGGTCCCTCCGAACCTGCGAGTCCGAGGGCTCAGCGCCACGGTAGAGACCGGGGCGGCTGCGGGGGCTCGACGGGAACCGCGTCCCCGGCGGCGCGGGGACCGCCCCGGGCGCGGTACCCCCATCCCGCCGCCCCGTCCCATCCCCGCTGCGCCCCCCGGCCCCCGCCCGGCGCTGCCCCCGCCCGGTGCCCAAGCCCCGGCCCGTACCCGGTGCGCTGTGCCCGTCCCCTGTTGCTGCCGGTGCTGGTGGCGGAGCGAGCGCGGTCCGTCCCGCGGGAGCTGAGCCGGCGGCGCGCCCGGGGGTTATATCGGCCCCGGAGCCCGGGCTGACGTCAGCGCCGGGCACGCACCGGGCGGCGGGGGGCGGGAGCGGGGGGCGGGAGCGGGGGGCACCGGGGCGGCGGGGAGCGGGTCCCCGGCGGCGGGGCAGACCGTGCTCTCCCCGCTCTCGGGGGCCGCCGCTCCGGTTCCGTTCCGGCGCCCGCCAAAGGGGCTCGGCGGTCCCGCGACCGGTGCCAGCAGGTGCCTTGGGTCGTGCTGTCCCCCTGTCCCCCGCTCCCCCGGCCCTCCGGTTCCCTCGCTCCCTCTCCCGTCTCTGCTGCCCCCCGCCAGCCCCGTTCTCCGCCGCTGTCCGCGGTGCTGAACGGCCGGGACGCGCCGTTGAGCTGTACCGGTGAGCTCCCGGCGAGATGTACCGCTGAGTTCCCGGTGAGCTGTACCGGTGAGCTCCCGGCGAGATGTACCGGTGAGCTCCCGGCGAGATGTACCGGTGAGCTGTATTGGGCTGAGCCACGGCTCCCCGTCGACGGACCCCCGCGTTACCGGGCCGAGCGGCCGCCTCGAGCAGCGGCGTCCTGAGCAGGGAACGTGGGCGGCGGCAGGGGGGATCCCTGGGCGTGGGGGGGATCCCTGGGCGTGGGGGGGACACCCCGGGCACCGGGAACTCCGGGACAGGACGGCCATGGGTGGGGGACCCCCGGCCTGTCTGTGGCCCCGTGCCCCGGGCAGAGTGGGTGGTGCCGAGGTGCAGGAGCTGCAGACCCCGAAGCGCAGCGGCAGCACCGGCCAAGTCCTGTGAGTCATAGAGCGGAGACACCGGAGTCGGCAGCGGCGTGCTCGATGCAGGGTGTTCCGATGGGGCACCAGCGCCGCTGCCAAACGGTGAGGTGGCTGCTGGTGCTTCACATCACTGCTGGCAGCCCCCCTGAGTGCACCACATGCTGCTGGCAGACGCCCGAGTGCACCACACCACTGCCAGCAGACCCCCGAGTGCAGACCCCCTAACCCCAACTGCAGCCAAGCCAACACCCAGAACCGACGCTGGTGCAGGTGCCCAGCTAGGCCCAGATTGGGCTCCTTCCACAGTGCCAGTGTTGGGCAGATCTGGGGACAGAGGCTCAGTCTGGCCCCTTGCACGGTGTGTCCCACACCAGGTGGCACAGGGGCAGTGGGGCACAGCCCTGCTCGCAGCAAGGCAGCACACAGTGCCATGGCCCCGTGACATGATCTGGCGTGAAGGCTGGCACTCAGCACCGCTTCCCACAGCGGCAGGGCACAGCCCTCAGCAGGGGCTGGGCTCAGGCCCCCAAGCCTTGGCAGCCCCATGCCATGGGGCAGCTACTCCTGGGGACAAGTGGCTCACGCCACGTGGCTCATGCCATGCTTGCAGCTCACTCACTGCTGACACCCCAGAGCCTCCTGTACCCCCTGACAGAGCTGCAAGAGGCTCAGTGCTTCTGCACTGCAAAACCCTGCCACCCACAGCACCCACCCCACACACTGGAGAGAGCCTGGGCCAAGCCCACACAAGGCTTGAGGTCCCCCTGAGGCCCTGGTGCCATCCATGCATGGTTCCATCACCTGGCCCCAGCCCTGTGCTGCTCTACCAAGTGCTGCTGGGGGCTGCAGCCACAACCCCTTCCCATTCCTCACCCTCAGGCGAGTGCCAGCAGCTGGGTGGGCTCTATGGCCCCATCCCCAGATGAGTGCACAGGAGCAGGATTCAGCTCCTCTATGCTTCAAGTTGTACTCACCTGCCTAGAGTAGCCCCAAAGCCCAGGCCAGCCCAGGGCAGGAGTGTGAAGGTGAGGGAGGAAGGATAGATGGTGCATCCTCTCCATAAGGGCCATGCTGGCAGCCTGCAGAACCCAGCTGGTGGCAGCACCAAGGGGATGGCTCTGTTGAGCTGCGTGGGGCTGCCACAGTGAGACCGAGGGGGCTGGGGCTCAAGGCCCTGTGGGGGTGAGGTGAACCACCACGATCCTACCAGCTCCACTCGAAGCCCCTGGTTGGGATGTGCTGTGTGAGCTGGGTTGTGCCTGCTCACTCCTGGTGTAGGGTGAGCACGGACACACATCCCCACGGGGGAGCAGTGCTGGTGGTGGCAGCCCTGTCCCAGCCCCAGCTTCAGCCCTACTCCCCACCCTTCCCACAGCCTCCCAGGATGCACAGCCCTGCACTGAGCACACCCTGACCTGTGGGGACTCTGCACCCAGCGCTGCAACCCTGACACCATTCACCTTGTTCCACTGTTCTGTAGCAGTGAGGGCACTGTCACAGCCCATGGAACAGCTGCAGTGGAACCTGGTGATCCCCTAAGCCACCATCCACCCTCTGTTGGAGCCCCCTCTCCTCACCCAGTCAGTGGGGCAGCTCATCCCATCAGCCTGCAGTCCACAGCCCCACACTCAGTGCCTTGGGACAAGGCAGAGTGGAGCTGTAACACAGGAATGGTCACTGGAACTGCTTCTGCAGGGCCTGGAGGGGCTGCTGGGCCATGAGCCTGAGGACCATGGGAATCGAGAGTGAAAAATGCCATTTATTGGTGCTCTGTCTACAGCAGAGTCACACCAAACCCCATTTTCAGGGGAAGCACCCCCAGCCTGCAGTGACCCCAGCTCTGTGCCCATGGTACTGCCAGCCCAGGGCCAGCCCCGGCCCAGTGGCACTCCCACTCCTTCCTCCAGGGATGTGCCATGGGGAAGGGCAGAGTGATGCCTGGGGCAGGAGGACTCTGTGCAGGTAGGGGCCAGGAGAGGGTTGAGCATGGATGGAGAAACACATTGCAGGCAGAGCTGCCACACGGCACAGCCAGAGCTGGAGCCAGAGCCAGAGCTACTCCAAGCCTCCAGAGCTGGAGCCAGAGCCACTCCAGGCCTGTCTCAGGGTGCCCTGGCACCATCTTCTCCCCAGTGTGTCCCTGGGGCAGTGGGGGCCATGGTGACGGTGTCTCCCCAGGGAGAGAGAGGGACAGCTGCTGCCTGTTTCAGCCTATCCTCAGCCACAGGCACCCACTCGAAGGGCTCCCGAGGTGTGGCGGGGTCAGTCAGTGCACAAGCTGGGGACAGGGGTGGGACACGGCTTCTGCCTCACATCTGATTTGCTTTCCAGGAGAGGTAGCAGTTCCAAACGATGGCTACGCACTGGACAACAGCCAGCCTGGGGACAGAGGGGAAAGGGTCCACAGCCGCTGGCTCAGGGGGCCAGGGGCTGGGGGCCAGAGCCACAACACTACCTGTGCTGCAGGGGCACGAAGTAGAAGTTTGCAATCTGCACGGGTGGCCAGATCTGGACAGAGAAGGGGAGAGCAGTGAGGGGCCCTGCCAGCGCCTGTGCCCCGTGCCCACCCTTGCCTGGCACTTGGGGACAGGGACACAGACCCGCCAGCACTCACACAGTAGTTGGTCATCAGGGCGTCTGTGTAGTCCTGCAAGAGAAAGGAGGTCTGAGCACGCAGAGGGCCCCATTCCCACTACGGGGCACAGAGTCTCCCACAGCTGTGCCCACGGGGGTGGCAGGGACAGGGCAGCCACAACCGCCCTCCCCACTGTGCCACAGCCAGGGCACACGGGCAGGCAGCTCCTCTCCCCAGTGTGGGCTGTGAGCCCCTATTCAGCCCCGCAACCCCCAGGCCCCTCCCAGGCACCCTGGGGCAGGGACGGAGACGGGCACTGAGCCAGGGTATCCACCCTGGGAGCCCGAGGCACTGTCCTTCTGTCCTCGAGCTGCAGCCGCGGCCGTGCCGCATCCCTGCCCCATGGTAGCAGGACGAGTCCCTCATCCAGCCTGGCCGTGACTCAGCCAGGAGCCCGGGCTCCTCCTGGTGCTGGCTGGCAGCCCAGGACGGGGCGAGCGGGCACAGGGTGATGGATGCTCTGCTGACGCTTCCTCTGCGTGGGGAAAGGTGGATGCGCCCCAAGCCAGGGGTGAAGGTGCTGCCAGCACCGCTGCCCAGGTCCCAGCCCAGCCACCCCCTGCCACGGCAGCTGGGAGCTACAGCTTGCAGGAATCACCCACCACGGTGGGATGCTTTGGGGGAGCTGAAGCAAGATCCATGGCACCAGCTGGTCTGGATGCAGCAGGAGCGGATGGACAAGAGCTCGTGGGGTGCTGTCTGTACCCAGGACCTCTCCACATGTGCCTCTGGGGTGCCTTGGAGCACCCCATACCCTGGCTGTGGCTCATGCAGAGCTTTGAGAAAGCAGAGGTGACACAATCCTGCCCTGGGATCTGCTCCCTGCACCCCAGGGCAGGATGAGGGGCACGCACTGGCAGCCCAGCAGGCCAGTGCCTGGGGGTGGCACCCCACCGAGGAACAACCTCTGGGCGATGGTGCCCCAGCAGAGCTCCAGCCCAGGGCAGCAGGTCTGGCTGGGCTGGGGCCCTTCACACACGGCCCTGGCAGTGGTGTGCGAGGCTGGTGCTGCCACCCCTGCCAGCCAGGCGACCACCCCAGCGAACCTCGTCCCGCGGCGGGTGGGCACCCGCTCCCCGGTGACTCACTCTGGACACGCTGACTCAGCGCTCGCACCGGTTTCCAACAGTCACTGCCAATGGGAGCCATCTCGGTAATGGCTCTGGAGACCCAGCCAGGAGCAGGGCCGGACGGCACGCAGGAGCCCATGGCATCTGTGCCCGGCACAGGTGGGACCCTGGTGCCACACCACAGGAATGGCCATGGTGCCAGAACCCAGAAGACTGGCAGCACCGGGCACCTGATGCCCGCAGGGCCCTCAGACCCAGCGCCTGGGTGTGGGAACAGCCACGAACGGGAGCAGCCGCCAGGGCCAGTGCACCGGGAGGAGCTGCCAGGGCCCCCCCGGTTCCCCAGGGCCCCCCCATCCACCCCAGGGCGGCAGTACATACCTGCTGGATCTTGGACCAGTTATCCTGCACTGACAGCCCGTTCATGGCCCCCGTGATGGCCAGGAAGCAGCCAAGGAAACACGGGGCGAAGCCCCCCTGTGAGAGAGGAGCCAGGGCCAATGCCGAGGGGCTTGTGGTGCCTGGAGCTGGGCTGGCCACGGGCAGCCCCTGCGACCCTGCCCACCCCAACCCTCCACCACAGTGGGGCTTGGCTCAGCTCAGGCACAGGGGTTCATGGAATGGGATGGAAATTTGCCACAGGAATATGGCTGCACCCATCACCCCATCCTGCCCCTCCAGCCCGATGTGACACCCTCGCTCACGTCACACCAACCTGGTCCAGAACCATCTTCTTGACAGCCACGACTTTTGTGTTCCCCGGGATGAGCCGATCCAGGATCCTGTACCAGCTGCCCACAACGGGGCCCTGCAGGAGCCAGGAGGTGAGGAGCAGCACCCACCCTCACTAGCCAAGGGGGCTCCAGAGCTGGTTATATGGGCCCAAGACTACCAGGATGGGCTTGTCCTGCCTCCGACTGGGCTGTGCTGCCGTGCTCCAGGGAACCAGCCCTGCCCACGGCTGCCAGAGGTGGCATCAGGATGTCCCAGCTCACACTGGGGGGGCAACGTGACCCCACCCTGATGAAAGAGCCCCCGATCCCATCCCATCCTGCCGTGCTGGCACTCACCACGAAGCAGAAGCCAATGGCCATCATTTTCAGGGTGCGGGGGCCGTGGTGCCCACGCAGCCCCCGCCGCTCCACCAGCTGCTGTGCGATCACATCCCCAGCTCCCATGAGGGCCCCTGCGACCAGCACAGCCCATTCAGGTGGGCAAGACCCCCACATGCCCTGCCCACGGCTGGGCCCCCTGCCCCAGTGCTGCTGCTGCTCCCCTGCCCCGGGATGCCTGAGCCTGCTCTGGCCCCGCCGGCTCCATCCCAGCTGCAGCTCCTCACTGCCTGCAGTGAGCCCTGCTGAGCACCTCGGGCCTCTCAGGACGCTGCAGCATCTCTGGCCAAAAGGGTGCCCGACTGCATCTCCTCCTGGTGCCGTGGGCACGGGGCTGACCTGTTGTGAAAGACTGATTAACACCCGTCACCCAGGGCCTGTGGTGCCTGGGGCTCTCGGGACAGTCCACCTGGCTGCTGCCTGTGCTCCCCACCATGGCCTCTCCTGAGCCTCTCCCAAATCTCTCCCTGTGCACCGGGCAGGCTCTGCTGACTGTGATTCCTCTCTGGAGAGCCATTCTCTGCCTGTGGCTCTGCCAGCAGCCAGGACACGCAGGATGTGCTCCCCACTGCCCGGGCTGCCCCAGCCCCTCGCTGTGGCCGGCTGCTGGCACGGCTTCCTGGCCCTGTTTCCAGATCAGTGTCCCCGGTGGGATGCTGCCTGGCTGGGCCTCTGGCAGCTCCTGCTCCATTCTACACCCCTGACCCCTTCGACGCAACTTGGCTGGCCCGGTGCTGCCCCTCAGCCCCAGCACTGCTCCCCCTGGCCCTGGCAGCTCCTGCTCACTCCCCCCGCTCCTCCTGGGACAGTTCCCAGGTAGGTCTTCAGCCCCACTGCTGCTCTGCTCTGAACTTGTAAGCCCTGAGCCCAGCAAGCCCTTGGCCTGGGGAGCACCAGCCTCAGCACTCCCCATCCCAGCAGCCCCTGTCACGGCCAGCTCAGGGCCAGCCCTATCCCAGGGGCTCCATGAGCGGCTCGTGGGGGACCAGGGCCCGGCTCCCTCTCCCAACACCATGCCATGTGGCCCCCAGACAGGGCAAGTCCGGGCTCTACAGCCCCATGGAGGCCGCAAGCACCTCCTGGTGCTGCCTCACAGGCTCCATCTCCCACCCTGGACCAGCCCCAGGGTTTGGGGCTCTGTCCCCCAGCCCAGAGCTCTCTGCTCCCACCCATGATGGCAGGGCAGCCCTGCCAGCCCACGGGCTGCAGCAGTGCAGGGGAGGGGGTGGCAGCAGGAGCAGGATTCCAGCACAGCACACCAGAGTGCTGGCTGCTCCCACAGGTAGCATTCCCAGGAGCTGGGTGCAGGGGCACAATGCTCATTGAGAACACGCAGCCACGGCACTGCCGTTACTCATCCAGTGCCGAACGGTCCGGGCACGGTGCCCAGCGGTGACAAAGCTGTGCCGGGGGAACAGACCTGTCTCTGCCCGGGCCTGGGGTGCAGCTGGATCCAGTCCCTCACGATAACTTTGGCACCAGTGCTTGCCCAGAGGGAGACGGTTGCGTGGGGCTGGAGCCTGCAGCCAGGCCAAGCCCAGAGCCAGGGTGCCCAGCTGACCCCCAGGTCGTTGCTCCCACGACCAGAGGATTCTGAATTGGGCCTGAACATAAGTAGGGCACCGTCTGTATCCCCACAGCATCACCACGGCGGGAGGGCGGGGCTGCTCTCCACAGGCAGGGAGGGACAGCAAGGTCACGGCTGTGGGCACGTGCTGCTGCCTGCTGTGCCCAGGCCCTGCCGGCAGCCTGGCCTGGGGCCCGGGATGCAGGAGGCAAAGCCCTGCCCGACCCCATGGTCCTCGGACAGCAGCTCGGGCGGTGAGCACAGCTGGATGCAGCAACACAGCCAACTGCCAGCAGCTCTCTGGCCCAGCCCCAGCTGGCAGCACCGGGGGCTCCGGGAGCAGCAAGGGAAAGCAGGGCTGGAGGTTGGAATGTATCTGGCCCAGGGCACGGGAGCTGCATGGACCATGGCACAGCCAGAAGAGAGGGGCCAAGCCCAGCCGTGAATGGGGGTCTGAGAGCAGGAACACTCGGCCCCAGCAGTGCTGCCCCAGCCTGAAGGGAACGGTCGTGCCCCCTCAGCTGGGCCTGGGAACCTGCCACAGGCAGGGAGAGAGAGCCCAGCCTGAGGGCAGAGCTTCTTCTGGGCTGGGGGAACCACATCCAGTGTCAGCCCAGCACCCACAGAGCAGCCATGCCCCCACAGCACAGCCCTGTGCCCCTGGGGGCTGGTGGGGCCCGGAGGGACTGGGGGGCTGTGCTACGGCAGTGCCAGCTCTGATACAAAACAGCAACAGGCAGAACAGGGCTGGAGCCAGCCCAGGGCCACACTGAGCCTGCACAGCAGCAGACAGGGGCCAGGAGGGAATGGGCAGGGGTGGCCCTGGGCAGCCCTCCCAGCTCCACCCTGGCCTCTCGCCAGGCACCAGGGGATGTGCGGCCAGCAGTGCCCAGCAATAGACTCCATCACATCCCATAAAAATAACAGCGGGAGCAGCGAGGCGGCCTGGCAGGGCCCCAGCAGCTGGGCAGGGGGGCACCCGGGGGCAGCAGGGCCAAGGGCCAGTGGCTGCACCACGAGAGGAGGCCCCGGCTCAGCAGGGCACCCCCTGAGGTTATGCTTTCCCAGCCTCCTGGGCTGGTGGCTTGGGAGCAGCAGGACCAGAGGAGCAGCAGGACGAGGGGAAGGCTGCGAGCAGGGGGTGCAGTAGGGAGCACACAGGGACACCCTGCTCCCAGCCAGCAGTGCCACACAGCCCCTGCATGGCCCCGAGCACACCCAGCACAGGCAGGATGGGCTCTCCCACCACCCAGCCACAGTCCTGGCCCCGGGTAGATTGGGGGGGACAAGAAGGGCAGTAGGTGGCAGGGGGCAGAGGTGTCTGGTGTTCAGGGCTACAAATCCCTGGGGCAGAACTGCCGGCCAGTGTCGGGGCAGATTTATGGCACTTCCCAGCCCTGCAAGCAGCATCGTTAGGGAAATTCAGGGCAGGGCCCTGGGAGCCTCTGCCCAGGCAGCACCTCTGTGCCTTCGCCCGAGTGCTGGCACACACCCAGGGGATGCTGAGACCCTGCAGGGGGGCTGCAGCCCACTGAACCCCCAGTGCCACAGCCCAGACCCCATCCCCTCCCTGTGAGCAGGACCTCCAAGGCAGCCTCCCCCCGGGGCCTGGGGTGAGTGAGGCGAGTCCTCGAGCCGCGAAGACCCTTCTTAGGCCCCCATTAACCCCCCTGGAGCCCGGCGGGGTCCCCGCTCTCCCTCCCGTGTGCCGGGCTGGGCTGCGGGCCGGGGGGTCCCGGCGCGGCCGCCGCAGGGCGCGGGGCCCGTGCCCGTCCCTTACCGGCGGTGAGCGCCTGTGCCGCCCCGGGCCGCCGCGCCAGCAGCCGCCCGCAGCCCCTCCACAGCGCCGCCATGGCCCGCGTGTCGCGCCGCGGTGACGCGAGTCGCGGCGCGATGTCGTGTCGCGACCGGGGGCGTTTATTGGTCAGTATCGGCCCAGCACCGTGGCCAGCAGCGCCATCCGAATGAACATCCCGTTCTCCGCCTGGCGGAAATAGGCCGCGCGCGGGTCCGAGTCCACCTCCACGCTGCGGAGGGACCGCGTCAGCGGGCACCGCCCCGGGACCCCCGAGCCGGCGGGACCCCCGATCCCACCGGGACCCCTCACCCGCCCCGGGACCCCCGATCCCACCGGGACCTCCGAGCCACCCTGGGACCCATCACCCCCCCGGGACCCCTGACCCCCTCAGGACCCCTCACACCACCGGGATCCCGGATGCCCCCCCCCCCGAGATCCCTGATCCACCTTGATCCCTCACCTCACTGGGACCCCTGACCCACCGCACACCACAGACCCTGTCTCCCTCCAAACCCACCAAGCAACCACAGTCCCCATCACCCTGAGACCCCCTACCCTGCCCAGCACACTGCAGCCCCCATGCCCCTGACCCCACAGCCACAGCACAGACCCAGCAACAGCACAGAGCCCTCCACACCCCCACGCCCTGGGAACCCCAATCCTGCCCAGTATATTACATAGCTCCATTACCCCAGACACTACCCCTGAGCCCCCTGCCCACCCAGTACCCTGCAGCCCCCCTGCCCCTGCTCCCCCCCTCCACCTGATCTCGTTGACACGGGGCAGGGGGTGCATCACCACCATCCTCTCCTTGGCACGGGTCATGATGTGGGGCGTGAGGATGAACTGCCCAAAGCACTGAGAGGGGACACAGAGAACCCTCAGCTGGGGCAGGGGACCCCCCACAGCCCCCGAGGGCAGCAGGACCCGGGGTCCCCTCACTCACGGCCTCGTACTCCTCAGCCCGTTCAAAGCGTTCCTTCTGGATGCGGGTCATGTAGAGCACGTCCGTGTCCGGCAGCGCCTCCTCAATGCTCCCGAACTCCTCCTGGGGTGGCACTGTCAGCAGGGCTGGGGGGACAGGGCTGGGGGGGCGTGTGGGGCCAGCCCCCCACCCCACTCCTCACCTGCTGGATGCCCCTGGAGGCCACAAAGCTGGTGATGTCGGGGGGCATGCGGAGGCCGGGGGGGGTCACGTAGCGCAGGTTGACGCGGTACAGGGTGAGCAGGCGGGCCAGGGAGTGCACCGTGCGCCCGTGCTTCAGGTCGCCCACCATGGTGATCTGGGGAGAGCAGTCAGGTCAGCCCAGCCATGGCCCCCCAGGGCCCAGACAGGGCCCCTCGGCCCCCCAGCCCCCCCACCTCACCGTCATGCCGTTGACGGTGCCCAGCTCCTCGCGGATGGTGAAGATGTCCAGCAGTGCCTGCGTGGGGTGTTCCCCCACCCCGTCCCCGGCGTTGATCACCGGCTTGCGGCAGTGCCTGGCAGCCAGCTGGGAGCATGGGCAGGGCAGGCAGGGGTGAGGGCAGGCAGGGGTGAGGGCAGGCCCCACCAGCCCCATGGTGGCAGGCCCCGAACCCTGCCCAGCTGGGGACCATGTCCCTGCCCTATAGTGCAGGTCACCATCCTCGCCATCAGGGCAGAGCCCCCAGCACCTTCGGGACAGGACGCGGCCGCCCCAGCCCCCCCAGCCCCTCTCACCTCAACGGCACCAGGCTGGGGGTG